CGGAGCGGCAGTCTCAGTTGCAGCGACCTCGGATGTGGGACAACCACTGGCAGCGGCGAAGCAAGAAAGTATGCTCCCACCTCGCAGTGTTCAACCGCGGCCACCGCCTGCATTGATGGAGGGGAGTCAGGGGACCGTTGTTGTGTGTCAAGKCGACGATCTCCCGGAACGTGATATCTCACACACTCCCGCAGYCGAGCAGAGCGCCGCAGACCATGTCGGCCTCGCATGCCCCACCGGCAGTCTTCCGGGTACCGGCGAGTTACTGACCATGGACTCTGCGCTCGTTTCTCTCCTGGACTTGTCAACGTTGATATCCCCAGGTCTACCCCATGTGTCACCGCCCAAGCCACAACAGCCTGTTGTCATCGAGCGTGGGTCGGACGAGTTTGACGTGGCAGGAGGCGATATCGCCAATATGATTACGAGCCCAATGGTATCTTCCACGCCCACAATTTTTCGTGTTGGCAAACTACGTGAGGTGGCCCTTGGTTTGGCGGAAACGGCGACGCGACACCGTCGCGACGGTCAGCGCAGCATCGCACAACGCAGTCTTTCTCATTCGTTTGACGGCGCAGAGGAAGGGTCTCATGGTGGGCCAGTTGACACACTTGAAAGAGAAGCAAGACCCCCAAGTCCGCCGTCAAACTTAGAGCATCATCCGATTGCCGCGGCTGTCGGCGCAGATGCGGGCGTCCCCGTCACAAACAGTGGCGCAGACGCGACAGAACAGCTTGTGGTTGGGTCATCGGCGACAGCACGGCGCGACAGAGCCACTGTTTTGCCGACAGTGGCATTTTATGCCAGCGGGAAGAGTACTGGGGGGATGGATGAGYAGGGAGTCCGGAATGTTAGTAGGCCATCTGCACCGTCTATGGGGAAACGATCCATTGRGAGTGTGGATGGTGCTCGGCACACCGCCATGGCCGAGTTTGAGGACCGACACGGGAGTGCTTTGCCGACGAAGACGTCTGATGTCCATGCTACGAGAGCCGCAAAGGCGAGTCTTTCTCGGGCAAGGAAGAAGGCCTCGGCAAGGAAGGCGTCACGTTCATCCTCACATATGCGTTCCCGAGAGAGAGGATCGGGCGTTGTGCATCTCGAGGACGGAGAGATTGCACCTGACGGCGACGCATTGGATGTTGGAGGGAGGGATGCAACGACGACAGATATCGTCGGCAGAGAGGGCACAGGGAATGCAGTGGCAGGTCAGAAGAGACGTGGCAGTGTACTTATCGTCCACGATGACAGCACAGATGTCGCCCCGGGAAAGACCACAGGCACTGATGATGCAGGGGACTCCGATTACGTACCCAAACCACGGGCGGCAGATGGAGATGATGGAGGAGGGCGAGGAGTGAGATCGAGGACACGACTCGGGCCGCAAGGGCAGCAAGCACAGGGCGCACCATCGGCGATGATTCCTGCCCCCATAGATCGGCGAGCTCAGGC